CTCATCTTCCGGCACACTATCCGACAATAGTCTCGTGTTTTCTTAATGTTTACATCTTCTAGCACCATCCTGATAATGTTCCACTGGTATTCATTAGGTTCCCAGTGGCTAACCATTCAGAAGTGGTCTGTCTGTGCTTCTTCCTAGTCTGTTAGTTTGGAAGCTCAGCTAAAACCCATCCACCTTGGGTGACCCTGTTGGTGTTTAAAATACCGGTGGTATAGCTGCCAGCATCACAGCAACATGGAAGCCCCCACAGTAGGACAAAGTGATAGGCAAGTGGTAGATCTTAAAGCCATGCAGGCTGAACTTTTCTGCCAACCCTTGAATTCTTTGAGCATTCTGTCTAGTGGGTTCAGCAGCACATGGTAACTCAGGAGCTGAGTGTCCAAACAAAAGAAAACAAAACAAAAAAATTCACTGTCAGAGTTGACTCTGACTCCTTACAGGCCTGTGTCGGATTTCTGAGACAAAATCTTTATGGGAGCAGACAACCTTATCTTTCTCCCTTGGATTAACTGGCTGATGGATTTGAACCAACAACCTTACGGTCAGCAGCTGAACGCCTAACCCACAACACCACCAGAGTTCCTTATTGAATAATCCCAGTTTCGGAATAATGCCACTCAAGGAGCTAGATAGCTAAATGTCCACACAGGAAGCATATAAAACATGTCCCCAAACTACAATATACAAAAGCACTTGTCCGTCCAGTGCACTAAATTAGGAAAAAAGACAGTCTGGCCTGTGGTATTCTCAGTAGAACATTGGTAAAGAGTTTTTGACAATTTTCATGGCCTCATGGGAATCGTCGTAACCTTGTTCTCTTGAACTCTCACTGGTTAAGCCTTTCAGACAGCGGATATTACAAAAGCCACCCCGTTTCCTAGAAAAGCACCTCTTGCAATACTTTAAGGAGAGCCTCACTTACCATAATAAGTAAATACCAGTGAATTGCAGCGGAGTGTTTGTGGTAGTTTCTCACATCTTTGATTGAAAAAGAATAGTAAGGGGTCAGATGAGCAACTAAGGTATCTAACTTCTCATTTATGAAAGATCACACTAGTGTCTGTAGGAATTAGTCTGTGTAATTCTAGGACGAGTCCTGATACTTTGGCTTGCTGGGTCTGTTTTTTGGTCTAGGGGAGGTCCCATTTCCACTGTGTAAATGGCAATAAATTCTAAGCTGTATTGTGAACGTCAGGGTAACCTCTTCAGTACTGGGATACCATCAAGGCAGCGTGTCAAAGTAACATAAGCCATCCAACCAGAAGACTTAGGTTCAAATCTGGTTCTGTTAAACTTAACTATGACCTTGAATAGGTATGTCCATCCTTCTTACATTTTATTACTGAAAGTTTTCAATTTATACAAAAGTCAGTAGTCTTCATACCATAGAAACAGAAAGGAAATTGATCATCGCCAGGGGCAGGGGGGGAGAGGGACATGAGGAGTGACCCCCAATAGGTGCCTGGGGGTTTCTTTTTGGGGTGACAAACTTTGTTCTGAAATTAGATAATGCTGTTTGTGGCACAGCTCTGAATATACTAAAAAGAACTGAATTGTGTACCTCAAAGGAGCAGGTTGTGGGCTTTGTGAGTTACATCTTATGGGTTAAATGAGTTCCCCTGAGAATGTCTTGCAAATCCTCACTTCTATGTGGAGTCCTGGTGTTACGCTGTAGGATGAGCACTAGACCCTAAATTCAGTTTGGACCCCAAAGTTGGCAGTTCAAACCACCAGCCACTCCTTGGAAACCCTATCCAGGGTAATGATGAGTCAGAACCAACTCGACAGCACTCAACAACATGTGTTGTGATTGCTGATCTCACGGTCCATGGTTCAAAGCCACCAGCCGCTACTTGGAAACCCTATATAGGACTGCTATGACTTGACTTGACAGCACTTAAAAACAACAACCCTGCTTGTAGTTAGAATCCCATTTGGGAATGAGTTGTCTTTGTTAGGTTAATGTGGCAGAATTAGTGTAGGTGTATCCTGAGTCCCCTCTCTTTTGAGATATAAAAGAGATTCAACAAGTGAGCAGAGATCATGTAAGAGAGATGCCAAGCCACGTGGAGATCCCCAAGAGAAGGCGCTCCGAAGAGACGAATATTTTCCTCCGGAGCTGACAGAGCAAGCTTTTCCCTAGAGCTGACTCCCAGAAATTGGACTTCTAGTTTCTTAGACTGTGAGGAATCAGTTAACATTTGTTAGAACGTCCACTTGGGGCATTTCTGTTACAGCAGCTAGAAAACTAACACACATCTCAAAGCCGCAATTAACGTCTGTTTTTAAGAAATCAACAGTACAGTCAGGGGATTTCAAGTTTGTGGGAAAATGGAATTAAAGGATGATGGAAATTTTCCATGAACTTTGTGAATCCCCCTCGTCTACTGAGCCACTACGGACCAATGGCCCAATCCCACCAATATCTAATGCATCCGATCTTCTCTTCCCTGCACCTCTACCCTCATTCCCCTCTCAAATCCTGTTGATCGATCTCATCTGTAAATATTTCAGTATATATTACTCAACATATTTCTAAAGATACAAACCAAAACCCAACCCTTTGCTGCCCAGCCAACCCTGACTCACAGCGACCCAATGAGGCCGAATTCTTTAGCCCCATAGGGTTTCCAAGGCTGTAATCTTCGTGGATATAGATCCCCACATCTTTGGGCCACACAGCAGCTGGTGTGTTTGAACTGCCACCCTTTTGGAATATATATGTTGTTGTTAAGTGCTGTTGATGCAGTTCTGACTCATAGTGGCTCTCTATAGGGCCTCTGAGGAGTAACTGGTGAGTTTGAACTGCTGACCTTGTACTTATCCTCCAGCACCACACCGGGACTCCACCAACATAGATGTTGTTGTTAAATACCGTCTAGTCGGTTCCAACTCCTAGCAACTGTGTATAGGGTTTCCAAGGAGTGGCTGGTGAGTTTGAACCACCAACCTTGAGGTTCGAACCAAACTTGCAGTCTAGCACATTATCCCAAAGTGCCACACCAGGCCTCTTACAATGCTACAGGTTTGGCAAATAATTCATGAGTAGAGAGGAGCCTATGGGGGACAAAGTTATGAAAATTTCGTAGCCGTTAACAAACACCATAAGGGAATCAATCGCTGGGCCTGGGGAGCTCAGGACCACAGTCTCGGGACGCCTGGTCAGCTGACATCCATAGTCCACAAAAACTGTTCTACGTCATACTTTGGTGAGTAATGGCTGGGATCTTAGACACTCATGAATGGGCCATCTGAGGGACAGCTATTGGTCTCTCCGTGTGCGGCAGAAAGAATGCTGGCAACTGAAGACACTTGGAAACAATTAGTCCAGTGAATTATCGCGACCATCAGTCTCCAGTGCCTTTAGGCCGGAAGTACTAGATGGTGCCCAGCTGCTCGGAATATAAGTCTATTAGAAGGTCCTTGGCAGAGTGAGAGAAAATGCGGAACAAAAGTCAGAATCATAGTAAAGATCAAACTCACTGCTCAGACAGAGACTGCTGAAACCCAATACTACAGCCCTTGTTCACCCTTCAGATCTGTAACTGAACTCACCTTTGTGGCTCAATTTTCAACAAAGCAATAGATAGGATTTTCGGGGGAGAACAACACGAGTGAGGTACACACACCAGAGTTTAGAAGGGGTGGGAGAGGAGGAGGAATGGAAATAGGAAATACAGGGAGGAAGTGGGCTGAGTGATGTTGAAGTAAGAGGATTGTGGTTGTTAAGTGCCGTGGAGTCGGTTCTGACCCATAGCAACCCTGTGTAAGGTTTCCGAGGAGCAGCTGGTGAGCTTGAACCGCCGACCTTGTGGATCAAACCAACTTTGCAGCCAAGAGCATTAACCTGGTGGGGATGGTTATGTGCCGTGGGGTCGGTTCCCACTCGTAGCGACCCTGCACAGGGTTTCCAAGACTATAAATCTTTACAGGAGCAGAAAGCCTCATCGTTCTTCCACGGAACAGCTGGTAGTTTCGAACTGATGACCCTGAGGTTAGCAGCCTAGTTCGTAACCACTACACTACTGGAGCTCCTTAGTGAGAGGATTACAGGCGTTGTAATGAAACGAAGCATATGATTGTTGAATGTAAAACTTGATGATCTGCTCTGTAAACCTTCACTCAGTTCACAATAATAAAAAGTTTGAAAACACAATCATACCACCATTATTTGCCTAAAAACATTAGTATTGATTCCTTAATATCAAATATCTAGTTAGTTTTCAAGTTTCCAGCCATCTTTTAAATGGTTTGCTTTGAACTGAGATCCAGATACGGCCCATACCTTGTGATTTGATGTGTCAGTAAAATCTGTTCCCTTCTTTAGATTCCACCACTTTGCTCTCCCTTCCCCCTTGTAGTTTATTTTCTGAAGACACTAGGTTGGCTGTTTGACCACATTATTTCATCTCCACATCTTGCGGGCGTCTTCATCAGTAAAATGTGAATCATAGTTGTTAAGTGCCGTCGAGTCAGTTCCGACCCATAGTGACCCTGTACAGGGTTTCCGGGGCTCTAAATCTTTACGGGACCAGAAAGCTCTCATCTTTTTCCCACGGAGCAGCTGGTAGTTTCGAACTGCTGACCTTGCAGTTCACAGCCCGATTCGTAACCACTACGCTACCAGGGTTCCTTGTGAATCATTGTACTAGCTACTATTAAGGCTGCTGTTTGGAATGATGAGTTAATTCACGCCAAGGGGGTTAGGACCGTGCCTGGCACATAGTAAACACTCAGTTAGCAGGAGACGTTGTTCCCAGGCCACAGAACCCAGCCCTTCACTTAGTCACTGGCAATGTTAGATACTGCCTTCAGGTCCGGCTGCATCCAGGTGTTTCCTCTTCATTGTTTTCTGCTCCGTGTGAGTTATCTCCTGGCAGATACTCTCCACAAGGTGGCAGCATTGTCCAGGTGATTGCAGCCTGCAGCAGGCTCTGGGGCCTTTCAACTTCTCATCTTAGAAACTTCCTTCCAGTAGTCCAGAGGCATAGATGACCCCAGGTGGGATGACTCACTTCCCCATCATGAGCGAAACAATCCCTGTACCTAGCCAATTCACCAGGTGTGGAAAGGATTCTTACTACACAAAAGGGAAAGAAATGCAAACCGAAGACACCTGTAGTTAATGAGCATTGTTGTAATAAACAGCAGCTGCTAGAATTTTGTGTTGGTAACCAGCTATGGGTCGGAACCGACTCGACGGCACTTAACAACAAACAACCAGCAAAGAACCAAAACTGACTCATTCATTTATTTAGCAAAAACCCAAGGCTGCAAGTTCAGCACTGTTCGAAAGGTTTAGGGGGAAAGTGGCCAGAAGAAAGACCATTCTCAGAGTTGTACATTAAGAATTGTTTGTTATCAAATTGTTTGGGGACCCTTTATCAGCAAGAAAAAGAAAATTCATGTTCTGAGGAGCTTTTTGTGTGTGTGTAATTAGCCAAAAGAACCTGCTTTCTTTATTTTAAAAAAATCTCAAACTGCTTTCTTTGTTTCAAGCAATTGCATCTCTCATGGTATAAACCAAACCCACTATTGTGGGGCCAATTCAGACTCATAGTAGATCTATAGGCCAGAGTAGAATTGCCCCACGGAGGTTCCCAAAACTCATCTTTGTAGAAGACTGCCACACCTTACCTTCCTTCTCATTCTCCTGAAGAAATAGTGTGCCATTTTGAGCTTGTTTGTAGCATGTTAGTTCATTTTAACTAGATGGAATTTACATCATTGAGTTATAGATAAGTGATATCTTGTTCATACATGGAGCCCTGGTGGCACTGTAGCCTAAGCATTGGGCTGCTAGCCACAAGGTTGACAGTTCAAACCCACCAGCTGCTCCATGAGAGAGAAGAGCAGCTGTCTGCTCCTATAACGATCTGCAGTCTTGGAAAACCCTACGGGGCAGTCTGGTTCAAACCCATCCACTGCTGCATGGAAGAAAGGTGGTAGTCCGCTCCCATAAAGATGGAAGCCTTGGAAATCCTATGGGGCAGTCCTACTATGTCCTATGGTGTCACCATACATTGGAATCAAATCAGTGGTAATGAGTTGTATTCATACACAACATGCTAGTGCAGTTGGGCATTTAGTTGTTGTACACTCCAATGTTACTGAGGATGGAGACAGCTGAAATGTCCAAAATGCTCTGGAAGATCAACCACATTGGGAGGGAGTTTTATAATTATAATTTAATTGTATAATAAAAACATAAATTGTATAAAAAGCATAATATACCTAATCATTTCAATAATCACCACTAATGAACTGCAATGTCAGTAGTTCAAGCTCCCAGCTGCTCTTTGAAAACCCTATACGGGGTCACTATGGGTCGGAATCGACTCGAAGGCACTTAACAACAACAATAATGAATTTCTAACATCACCAAAACATTTGAGAAATTCAAGAACATGTCTAGCAAAGACATCATGCCCAAGTTCCTGGCCCATCTTTTTTAAAGAAGTGTTAAGAATGAAATGAGAATCTTTTGTTGTCTAAGACGGTGACATTGTTTGACATAAAACACTGTCCCAGGCTGTGACTATGAAATCAGCTACCTCTACCAGTTCCCCATTTCTGTGGGGTCTGCAGACCTACTATGCCACAGTCAAGAATTAGACGCATTTCTTCTCCTGGCTCACCTTGTGTATCTGAAGGTGAGAGATGAGACCAAGAAAGGATTTCTACAGTGAGGTCCTGCAGAGAGAGTCCAGCCAAAGGGCAAATGGACTGGGTAGAGGCATCTTAATTCATTCATTTTTTTTCTTCTCTTTTTTTTTTTTTTTTATTGCGCACTGAGTGATAGTTTACATGGGAGAACATCAGCTTTACACCATCGTTCACTTCAAGGATTACAATCTCCTCCGCTCATCATCACTCAACAGTGTTTGCTTCCAGATTCCCATTAGCTCGTCCATGCCTGGGCCCAGCTCCCTTCCAATCTGCAGTCCACTCACCCCCAGTGCCCACTTTAGGGCCCTGCTTGTGTTTTATTTTTAAAAAATAGACTGAAATTCCCTAAAAGACTTTATACATAGAATTTATTTTTTATTTTTATGCACCAACTTTCCATCCCCTCCTCTCCTCAGCCCCTGGTAACCACGCCTCTGATTTCACCTTTCTACATTTCCTTCTTCTAGATATTGATCTCTTACTAGTGGGATCATACACATTCAACATTGTGTCTGACTTACTCCACTTACCATCATGTCTGAAAGGCTCACCCATGTTGTGATATGTCAGAGCTTCATCTTTCTGTTTGGCTGAATAATCTTCCACTGTGTGTAAAGACTACATTTTGTCCATCCATTCATCTGTTGATGGACACTTAGGTTGTTTCCACTGACCTGTCGTCAACAATACCTTGGAGCTCTTAGGCAGTTTTGGAAACGCGTGAATAGGAGCCCACCAGCCATCCTGCAGTTCTAACCTGAAGCTTGCTGTTTGGATCTCCTTATGCCTTTTCCTGTTCCAATCTAAGCTCTGGTTTTCCTCTCCCTTCCTTTCTTCCCAATCACTAAATCTTTACAGGAAAAGACAGCCTAGCTTTACTCTTGAGGGGCAACTGTTGTCAGGTGCCATCGAGTCGGCACCGACTCATAGCGACCCCATGCACAGCAGAACGAAACAATGTCCGATCCTGGGCCAACCTCACTACTGTTGCCACGCTTGAGTCCATCAATGCTGCCACCTGGCCAATCCATCTTGTTTGGGGTCTTCCTCTCTTTCTCTGACCCTCCACCTTACCAAACATGAGATCCTTCTCCAGTGACTGTTCCCTCCTGACAATATGTCTGAAGTATGAGAGACGAAGTTAGACAACTAGTGGGTTTTAACTAGTCACCTTGCAGCTAGCAGTTCAGTGCTTATCCTACAGCACCATCAGGGCCCCTTATTGTTACTGTTGTTAAGTGCCGTCAAGTCAGTTCCAACTCATGGTGACCCTGTATAGGGTTTCTGAGGCGCGGCTGGTGGGTTTGAACCTCCAACCTTGCGGAGCCTCACAGTATCCTGCAGCACCACACCAGGATTCCTTATTGTTACTATATTCCCTTCAAAAATGTGTTCTGGGTGTGCAGGCGTGAGAAAACCACATTCTTGGGGGTGTTGGAGCTGTCGGCTAAGAGGAGTGGCCGCAACTGTTTGAATATCCACATTTCCTTTTCTGTGTCTGTCAGGAGTTTTGATTCATCATGGATAATTTGTCATCAGAAGAAATTCAGTTAAGGGTTCACCAGGTTACTGATGAGTCTCTGGAAAGTACAAGGAGAATCCTGGGTTTAGCCACTGAGAACAACTAAACCGTATAGAAGAAGGCATGGACCAAATAAATAAAGACATGAGAGAGGCAGAGAAGACTTTAACAGAACTCAACAAATGCTGTGGCCTTTGTGTCTGCCCATGTAATAGGACGAAGAACTTTGAGTCTGGTAAGGCCTTTAAGACAACATGGGGAGATGGTGGAGACAACTCACTTACCAACGTAGTATCTAAGCAGCCAGGCCAGGTGACAAATGGCCAGCCTCAACAAGCTGCCACAGGAGTAGCCAGCGGTGGATACATTAAACATATAACTAATGGTGCCAGAGAAGATGAAATGGAGGAGAACTTGACTCAGGTGGGCAGTATCTTGGGGAATCTAAAAAACATGGCGCTGGACATGGGCAATGAGATTGACGCTCAAAATCAACAAATAAATTGGATCACAGATAAGGCTGAAACCAACAAAGATCGTATTGACATTGCCAATGTCAGGGCAAAGAAACTCATTGACAGCTAAAGCTATTGCTGTACTTGATCGTGTATTTACTTCCTTGGCTCCTCCTCCTTCAGAATGATTACCTTCTCAGAGTTTGAAATTTTAGTCCCACACTCTTCTAATCAGGAGATAATGTGGAAGCTGGGCCCAAGGAGTAAAAGCCCCCTTATTTAAAAAATATTCATTTTCCTTTGAGGGCAGACTGTGCTAGCCTTCCTTCTGGTATTTTTCCTCAGCTCATACTCTTAGGCTGGTTTCCATAGATCACATATAATTTTTTCATCTTTCTTGCTTACTTCAAAGCAGGTTGTTTTACTTTTGAGATTTGAAAGCATTGCCAAAGATAACCATGAAGAAGGAAGCTGTCAGGTTGATTTCAGGGAAAGGGGACAGAGAAAAAGGGGGTTGTAAACCTCAGTAAAATCCTGCAAGCTCTGAAGCAAAAGTTTATACAGCTTCAGTGAAAGTCCAGTTGGGTTTAGTTTTTGGTTCAAGTTGTAGTTATTGTCAGTAAAGCTTGGTTGGAGCTTTCATACACAATATTTTGTTATGCATCATAATTTTGCAACATCTACTCCTAAAAGAGGAATATAATGAGTTTTCTTAAAGCAAGTTTAATTTCTGAACTCTTAGTGATTGATAAATGTACGTAGATTTTGTGATCCCCTTCCATATTATATTGTTCAAGAACACTTTGTATAAACAGATGGCTTTTTATTTTCATATTATTATAGTATCATGGTCCCATTTGTTGTTGTTGTTGTTGTTGTTAAGTGCCATCGAGTCGGGTCCGACCCATAGCGACCATAATTTGTAATTAGTCTTTGAAGGAAAAAATGTAAATAGGTATTTGTAACATGAGAATTTCTCTCTAAAGCAGGGCTTAAATTTTGGGGGGAAAGTTTGACAAACTTTATCAAGTGAATTCAGATTTACCTCAGTGCCAAGAATTATGTTTAGATAGGGAAAAAAAAGGAACTTACTTTGATCTCAGGTAGAAAAATTAGATTGCTTTGAGTTTTATATAACTTTAGGTTTGTTTTTTTTTTAAGCTAGAATTTATTGTGTTTGTAACTAAAAGTGATTTGGAAATTATGCTTTTGTCATTCTCTCAGTGTTGTGTATTGAACCATATCCAGAATGACATTTATTTAGATCCTGAACAGTGTTAAGAGAATCTGATTCATATGTGTTACTTTTATTTAAAAACTAACATCTACATATTTCAAAGCTATTAATACAGATTGGTGTGGCCACTAAAAAAAAAAAAAATGTGTTCTGGCCTCCACGTGTTATATGTAAAACCACTGCCACGACCCCTCATGACCCTGTAGGACCGAGTAGAACTGGCCGGTCGTAGGGTTTCCAAGGCTGGAAATCTTTACAGGAGCCAACAGGCTCATCTTACTCCTGAGCGGTGGCTGTGGGGTTTGAATCACGGACCTTGCAGTTGGCCACCCAATGCTTAACCCACAGCACCACCAGTTAAAACCCCAAACCCACTGCCATGCAGTTGACTCCGACCCATAGTAGCCCTAAATAGCAGATATGTAACTCTTAGTTTAGAGAATAATGAAGTGTTCAGTTGTGATATTCAGACTGATGTGTCCATGGGTGCTCAAACCTGGAAGCGGGGAATTTAGGCTTCATAGATGCTCACCCCGGAAACACACACCTCAGTGTTGGCTTGGTCGTGGCTGGATCAGCGGTTGCGTCTTCCTCATCTGAGAAATGAAGTCATCCAGACCTACCAACCAGAGGAACTGGTGGGGGAGTTAGAAGAAAGCAGGCTCGCCACCCAAGAGAGAAGTCCGGGTTTACAGCTCACCACAAGAAAACAGTCTGTTCACTTATATTGGCCTTTGCATTGCAAAGACAGCAACATGCCGCCAGCAGTGGCTACTCTGATACTACTGTATCTGTAAGATGGACAGGATCAAACACTTGGAGGATAAGTGCTAGACTGCAAAGTCAGTTTGAACGGCAAGGTTAGCGGTTCAAGCCCACCAGCTGCTCCTCAGAAACCCTACACAGAGCTAACTTGAAGGCACCTAACAATAACATGCACAGATAAGAAGTCCTGTGTAGCCCTGTAGGATAAGTGCTGGACCACAAGGTCAGTTTGAACTGTGACCGTTCAAACCCACCAGCCACTCCTTGGAAAGATATACAGGGGGGTTACTATAAGTGCGAACCGAACTCAACAGCACTTACAGAGTTCCGGCTGTCCTTCATACCTCAGCCGTCCTGACTCATGCCTCTAACACACGAGACTGCTTCTCTTCCTTAAATGGAAGCATACTTATTCCCCATTTTTTTTTTTTTTTGCATGTTCATGATGTCCCAGCTAGGAACAAGCTAGTCTCCATCCTGATTCACGCCGGCCTCTCTCATATCTTGCCTTCCTCATTCAGCCTTCCTGAAATGACTCCCCCACCCCCACCTTCACCTATCTCTTCCTCTCTGGGATCACCACTGTGCACTTGCTTCTAAATTAGTTTGTGTTGGTTCCTGGGGTCCTTTTAGCCTCCCTCCTACTTGCTACCTAACTGTGGCACCTCAGTTGCTTGGCCCCGAAGTTAATTTCCAACAATGGCTAAAAAGAAAAACAACCCACACATTTCCTCACAGTGACCCCAGATCGTACAATACAGACTAGAGCTGCATTCTTTAGGATTTTCTTCCAAATGCCTCTGGGTAGACACGAATCACCAACCTTGTGGTTATTGGTCAAGCACCCAAGGACTCTGCCTAACACAGAGAGTGAGTTAGAGATCAGTCAGCAATTCCATTCAGTACGTACTTCCTGGTGCCGACTCGGGGGACTTCACCTGGGCCAAGCTGAAGATGAGACACAAGAGCAGAGAGGCAATGGATACTGCTGATGGACACGTGTGGTTTAAATGAGACCAAAATGTGGTTGTGCCTAACAGAGGGTCTGCTACGCTATAAAAAAAAAATAATAATAAACCGTGGCCGTCAAGCCTATTCCGAGTAGATGGCGACCCTATCTGGTACAGAGTCAAGTGTCACATAGGGATTTCTTGGCTGTCATCTATACAGAAGCAAGTCACCAGGCCACTGGGTAGGTGGGTTCAAGTCACCAGTCTGTCAAGTGCAAACCCTGTGGGGGCCCCTAGGACCTGTGTTATACTACACCACCAACACACTTACCATCTGATCGGTTCCAACTGATAGCAACCCTGTGTGAGGGTTCCTGTAAGTTGTTGTTGTAGTTGTTAGTGCCGTCGAGTCAGTTCCAACCCATAGCGACCCTGTAGAGGGTTTCTGAGAAGTGACTGGTGAGCTTGAACCACCAACCTTGTGGTTCAAACCGACTTTGCAGTCCAATGCATTGACCCACAGCGCCATACCAGAAATCGTTAGATGAGCAGAAAGCTTCATCTTTCTCCCGGGGAGCAGCTGGTGGGTTTGAACTGCCAATCTCGTGGTTAGCACTCAAGTGCTTGTTATTATGTACCATGGAGTCATTTCCAACTCATAGTGACCCTGCACAGGGTTTCCGAGGCTGCAAATCTTTACAGGAGCAGAAAGCCTCATCTTTCTTCCACGGAACAGCTGGTAGTTTCGAACTACCGACCTAGAGGTTAGCAGCCCGATTCGTAATCACTATGCTATCAGAGCTCCTTAACTCAAGTGCTTACACTCCTGCAAATGTGGCGTCTGAATTTGGGTGATGTGAAAAGATAGCAGGTCACAGTGCGAGATTCAAGAGAGGGGACACAGCTCCCTGTGCATGCAGAGTCCTGCGAGCCAAGAGCTGAAGTGGGCACATGAACCTAGTCTTCACTGTGGGGACTGCGTTAATCCTGCTCTCTTATCCCTGCTGTTGCAATGCAGGAAGGAAGGAATATCAACCGCTAACAGGAAGCTGAAGGAGTCTTTGTGGTCCAACCGTTAAGTGCTTAGCTGCTAACTAAAAGGTTGGGAGTTTGGAGCCACCCAGCAGTTCTGACAGCTCTGGAAACCCTCTGAGCAGTTCTATATCCTACAGAGGCTCTAAGCTTGGGCTAGACTCCAAGGCACCCAGCAATGTCAGCAAGTTGGGCTTGTGGCCTCTGCTCAGGGAAATCAGCCGGGTGTTCCCGGGATAAGGGGGTGTGGAGGAGGGAGGCTGCTCCACACGGGTTATGAGTTCTGACACTGAAGTTTTCAAAATAGGAACTTCGCCCTCTAAAGCAGAAGGCTTGTGTGTGTGTGTGTTTCTTCTCTTGTGGTTTCATACAGCAAATGTGTGACAGCCTCTACTTAGAGACCAAGCAGATGTCAGATGCTACAGGGAGCAGGGCTGGGTTTCTGGTCCCTTCCCTCACTCTTGTCATTTCACCCTGGTCATGTTTGGCAGAAATCATGCCTGCTGGGGAATGGTTTTGACGGGTTCCCAGGTGTTGTCAGATAAGTCCACAGAACTCCGTTTCTGAGAACTGCTCAAAGGCAGTGACATTGCATCACCACCCTCGAAGCTGGGATATCAGTCTCCACGCTCCGAAGGGTTCCGTTCACATCGCCAACATGAAAGGCTCTGGCATCCCTGACCGAGCGCCCACGGTGAGTAAGCGGGCAGGGGTTGGTGGGCAGAGGCGTTGGTCCCCAGGTAACGACCAACTTTTGTTCAGAACTTCAGGGAAGAATGGGAAAAGTTTAATCTAAGCTTGTTATTATTGGATGCTGTGGAGACGATTCCAACGCATAGCAACTTTACACGACCGGGTAGAACCGCCCCATAGGGTTTGCGTGGCTGTCATCTTGATGGGTATAGATTGCCAGATCTTTCTTCCGCTGAGTGGCTGGGTGGGTTTGAACTGACAACTTTCAGGCTCTTGCATAACTGTTGTGTTGCCCGGGCTCCTTGAGTGTGGGAGATGTAAGTGCTGCAGAAATTTAACTTGAAGATGAGTGAACATCATTTTCTAGTAGAATCCATCTTGATGGGATGACAACACCCAACACTCTATCCATCCAATGTCTAAAATGGGCTTGATGAAGGTGTTAAGTCTCTGCCTCAGCCGGCCTTGGTCTTTCTGCTTTTTCTGAGCCCCGATGTCACAGGCTCTCTGCCTAGCAGCCCGATTGAGTTCCTTCTGCGTCCGGGCTCTGGTGTGTGTCATGTTCATGTTTTGTACTGACCTGTGGGAACCAAGCCAGAAGGTCCAAGATTTGCTATTTAGAAAGTTGACATGGCTGTACCAAAAACTTTGTTGTTGTTGGTAAGTGCTGTCAAGTCGGTTCCGACCCATGGCAACCCTGTGTAGGATTTGCAAGGAGTGGCTGGTGAGCTTGAACTGCCGACATTGTAGTTCAAGCCGGCCTTGCTATCCAGAGCATGAACCCACAGCACCACACAAGTACCAAAAAAAATATAAGACATTTACTCAGACTCAGGGAAAGTGGAGGCCAAGGTTGATCTTCTTAATCTTGCTATATACTCTTTAAATTTTAAGTGGAAGAGAAAAAAAGAAATGAGACAGTAAGTGGGAGCCAGCTTATATGGATTAAATGTGATTTATTATTACAAGAATAACTGTAGATGTCACTAATGGAATTTATGACCAAGTAACCCATGGTATCCTCTTCTATACTGTTGTTATTGTTAAGCGCTGTTGACTCGGTTCCAACCCATAGAAACCCTGTGTAGAGTTTCCTAGGAGCGGCTAGTGAGTCTGAACCGCTGACCTTGTGGTTCAAACTGACCTTGTGGTCCAGCGCATTATCCTACAAGTGCCATAGACATATGTAAATATCTTAGTTACCCTAGAATTTTGTCCATGATTATTTATTTTAAAAATCCTCAAACCAGTGGAAAAATAGGAGAAAAACAGCTTAGAAAATCCCTAAGTGTCCTTCCAGGTCTCAGTCCATTGCTAGATACTTGTCTTTCACTCCATTGCTGGACATAGATTTGTACATATTAACACACAGGTATATACTTTGGGGGGAACTGCAGATATCACAACACTGTGCCCCTAAGTGCTAGCACAGGTGTCTCCTATGGACAAGGACTTTCTAAATAATCCCAACTATCCCAAAAAATATCTTTTTTTCTCTTTTTGCTTTTTGGCGGTTGTTTGTTCTTCTGATCCAGGATTCCATCCGAGGTCTCACACCTGCATTGCTTGTCAGGTCTCACCTGTTGTTGTTGAGTTCAATCCGACTTGTAAGGACAGAATAGAACAGCCCCTTGTAGGGTTTCTAAAAGGTTAATCTTTATGGAAGCAAACCACCACCTCTTTCTGTTCAGAGGGGCTGGTGAGTTCATACCACCCACCTCCTGGTTAGCAGTTAGAGCCCTTAACCACTGCGTACGTCATCAGGGCTCCTTTATCAGGTTTTGTTAAGTGTTGTGGAGTCAGTTCCGACTCATAGTGACTCTATAGGATTTCTGAGGAGGGGATGGTGGGTTTGAACTGCCAGCTTTGTGGTTATCAGCCCAGTGCTTATCCTATAGTGCCACACCACGACTTAAGGATCTTAGCGATCCTTAATCCACAGCCTTTCATAACATTAACAACTTTTTCTAAATGTTCTAGGTTTTTTGTGTTTCCTGTACAATTTAGAATTCTTTTTATTGCTGGTTCATTTACTCGGCCTCAATAGTTTGTCTGCTGCTGCTGTGGGCCATCTGGTTGGTTCCAACTCACAGTGACCCTGTACAAGGGTTCTGAGGTTGTAAATCTTTACGGGAGCAGAAAGCCTCATCTTTCTCCCATGGAGTGGCTGGTGGATTCGAACTGCTGACCCTGCAGTTAGCAGCCCAAAGCGTAACCCACTTCTCCACCAGGGCTCCTTAAACAGTTTCTATAGAACTTTACAATTTATAGATAGTATATGAGATTATCCAAAGGGCCCTGGTGGCCTAACAGTTAAGCACTCGGTTTAAACTGGAAAGTTGGTGGTTGAAACCACCCAGTGACTCCAAGGGGAACGAGCTGGCTTTCTGTCTCCTGTAAAAATGACAGCCTAGGAAACCCCATGGGGCAAATTAATCCTATTACATGGGCTGCTCTAAGTCCAGATGCACGGAAGGGTAACAACACAGTGACCGCACTTGATAGTCCCTGCCCCCTCTGAAGCCCTCCTGTCAATAGTATATGATCACAATGGAAAACACTTATGGACCCACGCCCATATACCAGGCCCTGTGCTAAGCAAGGCCTTTACTTGTGTTTTCTCGTTATCTTCTCACAACGTTTCTTCTACTAGCTGGGAGCTATTCTAGTCCCATTTACAGAGGAAACTGGGTTTGCTGTTTGTAAGCAGCAATGCCAGGAACCGAGCTCAGGTGGACTGGACCCAGAGCCCCAGCTTGTACGCAGCTATCATCCTGACCCTTAGACCAGGGTCGTTTTGGGGAAAGGGGCAGCTAGTGTGTTTGGCTTACCTATGATCTCTGGGACTATCATTCTGACCCTTAGACCAGGGTCGTTTTGGGGGAAAGGGGCAGCTAGTGTGTTTGGCTTACCTATGATCTCTGGGACTATCATTCTGATTGTTCTCACAAACCTTTAAAAATGTAAAATTACTCATAAACCCATAGATTGCTCATTCACATTTAGCCCAGGGGCCATCCTTTGCCAACTCCTGTCTTAGATGAATCTGTCTAGGTTCATGTAGACCACACCTGTTTCAGTGATGGGCATACCAGGACAAAACCCCAAGTCTTTCAGCTCCTAGTCCAGAGCCTACCTCAGTTAATGGGTTCTCGGGTGGTCTCCCTATGGAAACCATCAGTACACTCTTAGGATGATGTACTTTTAAAATTACGTTTCTATACGTAAATCACACTGTCATCGAGCCGATTCAGACTCACAGTAAAACAACAGCACACCGTAGGACTGACCCATCAGGTTTCCAAGGCTTTATGGGAACAGATTGCCACCCCTGCCTCCTGGGGAACAGCTGGTAGATTCGAACTGCCAAACTTTAGGTTAGCAGCCAAGTGCTTTAACCATTATGCAACCATGTTGTTGTTGGTGTTAAGTGCTATCGAGTCAGTTCCGACTCATAGGACTCTGTATAGTTTCCAACGAGCAGCTGGTGGGTTTGAACGGCTGGCCTTGTAATTAGGAGTGCGGTGCTCACCCAACAGCATTATACCAGGGCTCCATGGTGGTGGTGTGCTGTGGAGTCGGCACCAACTCACAGCGACCCTGGTCAGGGTTTCCAAGGCTGTAAATCTTTACAGGAGCATCTGGAACAGCTGGTAGTTTCCAAATGCTGACCTTGAGGTTAGCAGCCCAACTCATAACCCCTACGCTACCACAGCCCCCTTTTGATACCAACAGTAATTGAACAGCTGTTTTGTTCCTTGCCTTTTACAATCAGTGATCCCTATTACAGTTCAGTTTAGATGAGCACAATGGAATCACTGCATTCCTTTTAGCGCCCACCTTATTGTTTGTTGTTGCGGTTAAGTGCTGTTGAGCTGGTTCCGATTCATAGCGACCCTGTGTAGGGTTTACGAGGAGTAGCTGGTGGGTTTGAACTGCCGATCTCGCAGTTCTGAAGTGACCGACCAGTAGTTATCTTGCAGCACCACACCAGGAATCCATTGCTTACTGGCTGTTTACACGGTAACACAGACTTCAAGGGGTCACCTGTGTAGATGGTCTTCAGCTTTGGTGCGTGCACGGGATGATAAAGCAGGCCTCATTTTCACACGGCAACCCCAGATTGCCTTCCGCACTCCAGTCTTCCAGACGCTTTCCTAGTACCCCTCTTGGGGACCACAGTCCCCACGCAGTAGGGCTTTCACTTTAGGACTGAGCAGATCATGTGTAATTCTTCCCTACTGGTTTTATAAACAAGAAGAAATGAAAAAAGGAATCACGGAGCTATTCGTGACAAGGACGCGCTGGCGTCACCCGCATTAATCTCTCATCCACCAATCGGTGGAGTCCGTGATCCGCCCCATTCAATAAGCGCCGGGAAATTAGGTCTAAAGGACGCGGTGCACCAGTGATTTGATTACACGAAAGTGCTGAATGTGAATGGTTGGCCACTTCAGAACTGCCTTAGGTTGAAAAGTAGACTTTGCGCCTCCTGTTTGGGATTCTGCTCATTTCCAAGTGTGTGTATCTTTACATGTATGTGTGAGTGTGTACTAGTATGTGCGTTTGCATGTGTGTGTGTAAATGTGTACCTATGGGAGAGTGTGTATACGTACATGTGTGAGTGTGTATATGTGAGAAAGTGTGTATATGTACGTGTACTAGTGTGTATACCTGAGACTGCGTATATGTATTTGTATGAGTGTATATATGTGAGAGAGTGTGTTTGTAAGTATGTTTGTGAGAGAGAGTGGATGGAAGTTAGGACACAAGCAGGGCCCCACCACAAGGCCCAGACCTGAACTTCCTGGTGGTCAAATGTCTGGGAACAGAGGTCAGCCCTCTCAGCTGCTGACCCTGCCTGGCCCCAGCCTGACCGGCCATTCAACCTCATGAGTAGAAAGTGGTCCCTTCCTACTTCCGTGGTCACTGTTGCGTTAGGTTTGAAACGTTGAAATTGAAATCAAGCTTACAAGGACCTGTGACTTTCCCTGACCTTGG